TAAGTTTTCGAATTCAGCTTTCATGCGTTGGTGCGTGAAATTTTTAACTGTTTTCCAATGTTTGAACTATTTTTGCATAAACTAAAGTACAAAGAGTGCGTGAAATTTTTAACTGTTTTCCAATGTTTGAACTATTTTTGCATAGACTAAAGAACAAAGCAATGAAAATCATTAATAGACAATCGTTCGATGGGCTGAATTGCACAAAACGCATGATTGCACCGGCTAGTCTGGTGCGCGTTGCTTTTAATCGGTTGTTAAAGCAAAGAACCCGGCGTAATTGCACTCTGCGTTAAGTTAAAGCGTATATAACTTAATGAACCGAAACGTCTTATCTCCAGATTTTCATAGTTCTCACTTACGAGCGCAAGAAGTATTTAGCGGTAAAACTGCTAACTCAGCAACCAGAAAAGCTGAAAGGCTAAAATTTTAAGCGGGTGTTTCCCTTTCACGTATAATTTAAAGATTTCAAATTCAATCCCTAGGTATGCATGGTACTCACATATGGGCGTGTGAAAGTCTTGACGGGAAAATTGCTAACTCAGAAACCAGTGAAGCTGAAAAGCTGAAATTTTTGGAGAATGCTCCCCCTCCACGTACGACTTGAAGATTTCAAACCCAGCCTTCAGGCACTTGTGGTTCTCGCTAAAATTTTTAGGGGCAGAATTACACACTGAACAGCTAGGTTATTTTCAAAGAACGACTGCTAAACAGAAATTGCTCAGGGACCCGGCGTAGTTGCACCCGGCGTCCAGTAGTATCATTAACATGCTAAAACAACTCGTCTTCCTCTTTTCTTTTCCTTTTCCATTAAGCGCTTCAACCGTCGCACTGACGAGGTCCTGTCAGCGCGGTGTTAAGTTATAGCGCATATGACTTAATGAACCGAAACGTCATATCTCACTCTTATCTCCTTCTCTCGTATTCTAATCTGCCATGTTTCCACGACTTAGGCTTCCAGGGTCAATCTGGTCGCTACGGTGTGCTTATGCTGAAATAGCTATTTTGCACTTTTTAATATTAAATTAATGTCCTACGCAGTTATTTCATGTAAAAGGAATAGTTGTTTTTATTCTCTCTGTATATAAGTAGGCTGTTTCGTTTCGCGTTTTTTCCTTTTTTTTTTAGTTTTTGTCGATTAACTGTGTAGAAGGGGCCTATAATATGTAGCGAGAAATAATCTATTAAATTATCCATTGTCTGGACTGGTTTGATATTCCTGGCCAAGATAAGAGTACCCCTCCCCTCCCCATTGCCTCCCCGCCGCAAGATTTTCATTACAACCAGTGCGAAGGAAACTGAACTTCAAATCTATGGTAATCTTTGCTGCTAAAGGCGTTCGTAGTGCTAAAAATGAGAATTGAATAAAATGTAATTTCATGCTAAACGAGGAATATTGCTATTTCGTTCAAAACTTGTTTTTGGGTATAATTTTTACAGGGCAAAATTCCTTTATTATTTGTGGTTTAATGTTTTTGGATATTAATTTTTACAGGGCAAAATTCTTGGTGACAACAGCCGGGATGGTATTGAGCTGCAGGACGGAACATTAATGATGATGATTGGTAGTGGCGGAGCTGTACCATGTCCTCCTTCAGCAAAACGTCCCACGGAGAACGCCGAAGATGACGAGATGGAAGCTGAGGTAATCCCCAAACTTTGCGTTTTTTACTCTCTCAGCGAAAGAAAGATAACAGCTTTTTATCATACTGAGTGCTACCGATCAATAGAAAATAGGAGGAAGAATAGAGGAGAAAATTACAAAATAAGAATTAGGAAATTAGTAAAAATTATAAAAT